AAAAAAAAAAAACTACTTAGATTCAAGTACAATTTTTATAATTAGCCACAAGTTTATTATTTTAATAATTGTCATATAATCTCGAAAGAAATGTATGTGAAAAATATGAGGACGTATAGGGATGAAATTTCAGTAGACTCTAGTTAATAAAAGTTAACATAACACCTTATGTAATATAATAGTCACACAAACTAATCAAGCATTTTCATTTAGTTTTGATCAATAGGCCGTCGGGGCACCATAAATACATGGCATAATGGCCGCATACCCTGCAATTTATCTTGAAAGAACAAACATCTATAGTGGCGCAACAATTTTGCCAACATCTAATCTATGCCAATTGCACCAATTGAACGGACATTCAAGATGGTATATGAGCGTGCATAACAGTTTTCGACTATAAAATGAGCAAAGAGAATTTTATCATTGTAAGATAATAAAATTCCTCAACTGTTATCAAAAAGTTAACATCATTGGCTTTTCATACAGCAACTGCAACAACATGAAAGGTGAAACCAAACTTCATTTGCACTCTCAATTTCTTACAACTACTTGACTACAATAAAGATTTTAACCAATCAAAGCAACAACAAATGAGCTTAAACCCTAAATCCTAAACCCAACATAATTGAAAAATATGAGGATAATTACTAGTCAAACTCTACATACATATGCACGCACACACGTGTTCGTAAAGAGTAGAAACTTCCAATATTCTACGCATTAGATTTATGCATGCGTGAACGCGCACAAACTCCCATGTGCGTGCACACACTCTTCAAGGACGAGCACACAAATGTGTTCTCTCATGCGCCTACGTGCACACACATATTTTGATACAAATATGAATGAAGATAAAAGGAATAAGATATTCAATCGCAAATTCATATTCTCACTCTAAAGTACAATTGATCAAGCTAGCCATGGAAATGTGCAGTGTACTTAAATGAATGAATAAAGTATAAACATCCAAACATATAAGCATCCATTTCAAAGCTTAAAAGGAGCTTTGTATCCCTTGACTGGTTCTCTCTCTCTCTCTCTCTCACAAAATTATGTTCTACACTTCAGCATTTGACGGGAAATATACAGGAATAAACAAAGGATTGAGCTTTAGAACAAGTTTATTAGTCAAACCTGTAAGTCTTATTAGACAAATAAATAGTGTATAATTTAATCTTCTTTTATGTTTCCACCATATTTCTTCCTGGTGATCCTAATCCTTCTGGTAGAAGGAGAGAACAAGATCTGTATGTACAGAGAAGAGCTGGGTATCCACAAGCAACTGCTCGTACATGAAACAAGCAAAAATACTGTCAGAATTACTAATGATTCATTTACTTTGATGCAAACTACACTAATTTGTAAACTCTATAATACAGTCCTAAATTTGTAACCAGTTGATCAAATCAGTAAAAAAAATTGCTAAACAGATCTAATGTGAAGATTTCATGCATAATTTGATCATCAGATCAATCAAAGAAATAAATTTTGTTCTGAGAACTTGATAGTAAAAGTTTAGAGAATACCTTCATAAAGGGTCTGTCTCGGCTTGGAAATGACTCGATGAAACTCTCTTTAAGAAGTAAAGACACCTAAACGAGCATATATGAACAATAAATATTAGTCAGTCTGATCAGTATGGGGTGAACTTCGAAGAAATTCCACTAGATTAAGAGGATGGAAATGCTTTCAACGACGTATAAAAAAAAATAACATTATGCTTTTTGGGGTTTTGTGAAAGAAACAAACCTTGTCATCATTGGATTGTACATTTGTTATTGTGTGAGATCGAAGGTTCGAGCAAAGAGAATCAAGGTAAGACCTTAGAACAGCTAAGAAACCTTTAGCAGCTTCAATCTACAAATATAAGAAAACAAATCAATAAGCTTTAAGGATGATGAAGAAGATGACAAAAATGACAATCCAATAAAAGTTGATGCTAGAAAGTTAATTAGGACTTCAAAAACATAACATTTGGAATCCTGTGACTTACCTGTACGTCTGTACATTCAAAAACTGGCCTTTTTCGGGCTAAGTAGCTCTCACCCACAAGCTTTGCATGATAAGGGCTCAAGGATGCCAGTAACTCCTTGTGTTGTGGTAAATGGGGCATTAAAGGGGACTTCACCTACTTTTTCCAGAGAAGAAGGCATAATTAGATCTACTAAAAGAATTGTCCATAGTAAGGCAACGGCTTGGGTTTCTTACTATTTACTTAGTTATAAGCTGAAAAGAAAAAAAAAGTGCAAGCATGATTATAATAATTTTTTTAACAATAAGTTTACCTAGTAATAAGAACATGCGAACCTTAAGTCAAAACAAACTGGTAACATAATTACATTTAGGATCTATCTGGATTGAAGGAATTGGAAGGAAGCTAGTGAATTTTCTTTTACAATTTGGAATTATGTGTGGTTCCACATAAGATTTGATTCACCGAAGAAATGTTAATGAATATATTTTTTCATTGATAATTTCCTACCAATTCTAGTGAAAAATAAGAAAAAAAGTATCCGGTCATTATTATATCCTCTCTTTACAAGAAATAAAAAAAAAAAATCAATTTCTCATCAATCAAATAAAAAAATTTCAATTCAACTTCTTTCTTAGTAGAAAATAATATTAAACTCTTTTATTATTTTCATTGCCATTTCCTTCTAAGTTTCTCAAACCAAAACAGAGCCTTGCACAGGAAAAATAAATTAAAAAATAAATTTAAAATAAAAAAAAAAACAGAGCCTTTCAATCACAAAAAAATAAAAAAAACTCTGAGAACCAATTATTTGAAGCATGGATAACAAAAGAGTTGATAGTTTTCATCAGATATGCATACCATATACAATAGTAGATTTAATATATATACTGTAGATTTAATTGCTGGAAAAAGTAGGACTTCTTAAGGTATTAACATTGAGGGAAGTTCAATGTATCATAGACTAGTACCACAATTTCATAATTGCGCCTACTATGTTCATCAAATATTTCATTCATAAATGTCTTTGTATCACTACAAAATTGTGAAAAACTAAATATTGCGCACACAATATTTGTAATATTTACAATTGGACAAAATGGACTTCTGAACTCTATACGATTTGGGGGAATGACCAGAAGAGCCATACATAGCATAAACAGGGAGACACTTAATACACATGCAACAATACCAGTGATATGAATTTGTGTTTCCTACTTCTTTCTTCAATTCCATATCTCTATAATGGTTCAAAAAACAAAAAAATTTATAGCTGTTCAAATGATATTTTATATTAGAAGTCTGGAGATATTCTGACAGTATATAAAACAATAGTGAACCAATAAAGCTAAAAATAGTTCAAGAAGTTATTTTAAACATCATACGCTATCTAGTCTATTTTGCATAAAAAATAAGGTATAGCAAATCAGAATTTAACAATACCTGGTTTTTGTTTACATCAACCAAAATTGCATTGCATAATTTTGATTGAACCTCAGCAGTTTTGTCTTTTACACCAACCTAAACACAGGACACATCATTTATACACAAATTAGATAACAATCTCAGAGAAGATGTAAAGGGCCAAATTAATATGAAAGATTGCATCAAAGCATCAAAGTTAAGAAAAAAAGAAAAGGGTTGAGCATCACAGTTTTTTAAAAAAAAGGTTGACTAATAAACGGATATTTCAAGAAAGACGGCATCAATGGTACCCATCACTTGTGATTTTGTAAGTCCATTGAAATTATACATATAAGCACATTTGAAATCATATATTTAGCATCGATTATAATCACAATGGACAACTCTATAAAATAAATTAAAAAACTAAAACACAATTAAAAGTATGAAAAGAATAAAAAAGGAATCAACATGACAACCATGTTACAAACTCAATACTTCCAGAAATGTTGAACTTATAATAAAGAAGAATATCTCGTAGCACTGCGTTGGGCCAGATGGCCGTGATGAATGAATGGTTCCTTGATTCGAAATTATTGATGATCAAACACAACTCAAAAGTAATCGCCAATGTTAACATGGAAAATATCAAGTTAGAAAAGTTCTGAGCATTTTGTATTGTGTATGCATATTTGGTTGTACTTGAGAACATTGTAATTATTATTCTATTATAAATAGATGGATCCTCCAATAATAAAATACAACAAAGAGCTTTGCCCTAGGATATTAAGGCAAAAGAAGTTCTAATCCCAAATCCCCTCTCCCTACCAAACTCCTCTCTTCTTTTGTCTCCTAACCCCTAGCCCCTGCATACTATCATCAATGCATAACCGCTATCTCATATTGCAACAGATGCACAATGCTAAATGTCTGTTTCCATGTGCCCTATCATGCCCACCCACAAACTCACAGCTCACAAGCAGCTACCATGTACCCAAGATGTTACCAGAGCAACACAAGCTCTTGCATCGCCAATTCCTGCAACAAGCTTAAGCAACAACCCTACATGTACTCCCACCCAAGACATATCAATAAGATTGCATGACCCTAAATAAAAGCATACAATAGAAAATGAGATGGAGGTTCTTATTGTTTATCATACTAGGAATTTGAATACATATCCGCCCTTTCATGTCGCCAAGTCTTCATAGTTAAGCTCTACCTTGATGGCTCTATTCAATACTATGAGGCTCAATTAGCAAGTAAAGGATATACACAGGTATATTTCATATATTGCTTCGAGATTTTCCCCTGTTGCTTAACTTAAAGATATATGTTTTCTTCTATCAATTACAATTAATCAAGGATGAACTATGATGCAAACAATTGTTTGCAATACATTTCCTTATAAGAACCTTATTGAAGTTGTTTATATGGAGCACCTCCTAGGAACATTTCTCTGAGAGAGACCAAAAGCATGCTTCAGAAGGCTATATCTGAGTTGAAACAAAATCCTCAAGCATGGTTTGACAAACTTTACAAGGTTCTTGCTAATGTTAGACAAGGGAATAGTGTTGTTGTTCATTTTATTTTTATTTTACACTCTTCCTTTAGCACAATAATTCTTGTTCTGTATATACAGAACTTCTTCACACTAGGCATTGACGCTATAGGTATTGTTGGAAAAAAAACATTATCTTCAAAAGATGTTTATAACAAAAGATTTTGGATGCTAAAAGTACTTTCTTAACAATGCACACATATAGTAAAGAAGATTTCTCTCTTTCAAAGAGAATAAGCTACAAATCTTGAAGAAAAGTGTTTTCATAATTGCAAGCCTAATGGCTCACTCATGGACTCTATAAACATCTGAGATGAAGAAAATTTTGAAGAAATTTCTCATTATAAATGCTTGATTGGTAAGCTTATTTTATCTGAGGGAAATAGATCTGATATATCCTAGGTGAGGCTAATCAACATATGAAAAAAATAGAAAAAGAAGAATTATAAGACTCTATTCAAACGATTCTGTAAAAAAAATATCCTAGCAAAAGGACAAATCTATCAAAGAAGTAATTACCAAAGGTTGAAGCTTATACACATGCTGATATGCTATCCAATGTAGATAAAAAAGTCTACTTTTGGATGATGTATCTTTGTTGGCTGAACTCTTATTACAAGAAGAAAGAAGCAAATAATTGCAGATATCTAGTATTCAAGTAAAATATAGGGAGATGACTCACTCTGCTAAAATGATACGAGTAAAATATAGTGATGTTGTTTTACCAAAGAAGATCTTTAATCATGTTGCACACAAAGAACAACTGGATGAAATTATCAAAGCTTTCAAACATCTCTATTTTCAAACGTACATAATAAATTGGACATAGTTTATATATATATATATATATATATAAGCCTCACGGACACAGAATTGCGTAAATAAGAAACTAAGGATTTTTCAGAATTATCTTTCTTTACCTCTAACCATGTCTCCTAAAGAAAAAATCCAAAAACACACAAAAACAATAAAAAAAAACATAAACCCTAGATTTTCTTACACTTGAAAAATCTAACCCTAAACTAAAAAACAAAATAACTAAAATCCAATGTGGAGTACTCCTAGAGGGCGGCCGGAAACTTCAACTTCACCGGAGAGAGGCGGCGCCGACGGGAGAAGCGGCGGGAAGGGAAGCCGACGAGGGCGGGACCTCTCTGTTTCGCGAAAACAGCGTGCAGGGAAGGAAAATTTCGGGAGATCTAGAGCTGCGCGGGTTCAAGCAAGAAAAAACACTTCATTTTAAGTGGGTGGGCCCTTTCCCATGAGGTGTACGCCTCTACTAGAATTGCGCAATTGCGCCTCTGAGGCGCGCCTCAGTCCAAGTGAGGCATACACCTCTGCCAGAAGGGGAATTGCGTAAGCCTCGAGGCGGTTTTGGTAAAATTGCGCAGAGGCGCGCCTCTTATTGCGCAATTTTAAATTATGTCATAAACAAGTAATCTAAGTTACTAATATTGTTGACCCGTAGCCAGTAAAACAAAAAAGAATAGAAAAGAAATACAAATAAAATCCCTTACCTACTCTGCCACAGCCCTCCCACGCACGTCGCGCACGTCGTCGCTGCTCTTCCCACGATCTTCGCAGAAGGCTCGCACGACTCGATGTACCATCCCGCACGACTCATTTGAGTCGCTAAATACAAAAGAGGACGAGGCCTTCGGCCTCCGCTCGATCTCTTCTCCCCGGCCCGCTCTCTCCCTTTCTCTCTCGCTCTCACTCGCTCCTCCGGCGATATCCCTTCCAAACGGATCAGAAGTTACGCATTTTTACTCGGAAGCGAGCACGAGAGCTCCGCTCGCTGTGCAAATAACTTTCCTCCGTTCGCGCGCCTCTTTGGCCCTTCGCCGCTGCCCGACATTGCCCATTCAACGACGTTCCTTCCTGTTGGATCGGACATTGCAACATTTCGATCGGAAGCAAGAACAGAAGCTGCTCGGTGTGAGTTACGTCAATTAGTTCGGAAGCTTGAACGAGAGCTCGCTGTGGAAGGAAACTTTCTCCCTTTCACGCTTCTATGGTCGAACCCGTAAGCAGAGAAGAGAGGGGGAGGATTAATTTGTTGGAATTGTGTAAGCCTTATTGCGCGTGGTGGAATGGGACCCCGGTGCGGCGCCTACGGCGAGGCGGGGTCACTCATAAGTACCCCCGAGCGGGGGGAAAGCTAATTGTCTTTTAAACAGGTATCGTCAAAGACATCATACACGCCTTTATTGCGCGTGGTGGGAGGAAAAATCACGACCACGGTGTCCTCGTCCGAGGGCACCCACCATACACGCCTTTATTGTGGGTGGTGGAAAGTCCCAGTTTCTCGTAGTTTTCCCCTAAATGGGGGAGACGCCGGAAGGCTGCCGAAATTTTGGGTGAAATTACGATCGCACCCGGACCTGTTTTGAAATTAAAATGAGCAAGTTGCTGACCAAGTTTAAACTCAAGGAAGAGCAGGGGACTTATACTTGGACTTGTGGACCAAATGCATATAACTAATAATGAAGATTTTGAATTTAATCAAAATGGAATGAAAACAACACAAAGAACAAGCTCAAATAAATATAAGCATATGAATTCAAACTCAAATAGTCAAATGAACTCAAATCTAATTGAAATGAGCATGATCTTGGACATTTGAACTAAAGCAAGTTGGACTATATGGGACTTTAATTTGGACTTGAGCTTGAATAATAGAACAAATGACTATGCTTGGACTTGAACTCAACAAGACTAAAGGACTTGAATATGAACTGGGACATGCAAAATTGACTACAAAGGACACGAATTGGAACTTGATTTGAACTGGGCTTGAGAGAACTCATACTTGAGTTTGATTTGGACAGCAGGGGACCTACACTCGAGCTTGTGGACTTGATAGAACTCAAACTTGAAAATGACACAAGAGTTAGCTCAAATGACTAATGAAATATCTGAATCTAAATGAAATAAGTTAGAACTTGAACTTGAGTTGAGCTTTAAGCAAGTTTGACTTGAGCTTTTTCAGATTCAAGCTCGAATGAATGAGGGATAATGTGTGGCATTTACATTAACCCTTACAAGTGAATGTGACTAAGATGCAACAAATACAAACGGCTGCAAGACCTTGTAGGAAGGATATCGCAACATCCTCGTCACCAATATCAAGTCCTTACTATGCCTGTTGATTGAGATGGCAATACTGGAGACCAATAATGGAGGACCCGTCCTCTACAAACAAATACAATCATCGACCGACCTGAGATTGGTGAAAGTTGGGTAGGATGCAAGAACAATGACTCTCCTACAAATACTTCCAGGAGGTCGTAGCGGGTACAATGAGTCCCTGCAAATGAACACAACCTACTTGTGGATAACAACAGTGTGTATATCGTAGGTACAACGAACCACTGTGGGCTCAAGTACAGACATCCCCCCACCTGAGATTGGTGAAAGGTGGGTGTGATACAAGAACAATGGGTCTTCTACAAATACCTTTAAGAGATCGTAGTGAATAAAGCGGTCCCCTGCAAATGAATACTTGTGGGTAACAACAATGGGTATGTCGTAAGTACAACGAACCCTTGTGGACACAAGTACAAATATCACCTATGACAGTGGTGATCAAGATCTTCAAGTACGTCGGGTATAAGGGCAACTCGATGTACGAAAAAGTACACCCCCCTGGCAGAATCGAAAAGGAAGTTTGAACAAATTCAAACTAGAATTGTCGGTGTTCCAAATTCTCTTCTTAATCCTACACTTAAGAAAAACAATTCTGGTGTCCACAAATACCGGAAATAACAAGTCCACTACAATGACGATCTCAAAATGAGATCTTTTCAAGGCAAAGCAGCGGACTTCAAAGTCTAGAAGAAACTCTCCCCGGTTAATGAGAAAGGTGGGAGTTAATATCAAGGTGATAAGGTGCCTCACCGCACCAGATGCTACGCCACCGGATCTGCAACACTTATGCAAGCAGACAAAAGACGTCTACAATCTACAACGCGTCGCCACCGGATCCACAGCATTCATGCAAGCGGACATAAGGCGTTTACAAATATTCCAAGAATGCCCCCCCTGCACATGCACCGTAGCTTGTATACACATAGGTACACTAAAGGGGAAAATACAATTTCAACCCGCATGGGCCCCGACGAGCATGTCATTGATACACACGTGACGTCTAGGGATGCTGCGCGGGTTATTAAATTTGAACTCGATCCTCCTAATAAGATAAATAGGAATGGACAGGATTCGAACCATCAGATAAATATACGATCACAAAGTTGACCGGAATATTTATTTTATGCATTCATATTAGGCCTTCAACAAAGAAAATTCATGAAAAAAGGCACAAAGCCTACGAGAAACCCGATCCTCGATCAATAGCTTGGTTGAGTTGATATGGTTCATTCAATAAAGAGAAATGACCCCGAACACCCCGATGATGGCCGCGTTGATTGAAGATCTCAACCGGAAGGGTTAATTTCAGGCATTTCCAAATGCCTCCCAAAAGTCCACTCAAAAATCCAAAAATCCCAAAATTTAAGATATTTAAAAATGAAATCTAACCATTAACCACTTAAAGCAAAATCCATCCGCCCCCCGCAATAGTTTGCCGGGGTGGACAAATTAAAATTTAATTAAGCTCACAAAGAGCTAATTCCTGGTCGTGAATATCACTAGGATCCATTCTCAAACAATCTTCTGCCAGTAAGGACGTGGTATGTGTCCTCTAACAAGTGGTTTTGCCGCCAAATGGCACTGCAGGATAAACGGTTATGACCCGGGGCCCTCTAAACCGAGTGGTTTTGCCGTCAAATGGCAACAGGAAATACTGATTATGGCCAGAGCCAATACGCTCCTTATTGGCATCAAATCCTTGAGATATGAATCAATAGGATATGATCGATAGGGCACAAAGCCCTCTGTCAGCTAAGGTTAGGGGTGTCAATATTTGACACGACCCGAAAACTCGACTCGAAAATTTCGGGTTAGGGTCAACCCGACCCCGAAACGGGTCGGGTTCGGGTTAAACATTTTGACCCATTTCAAAAATAGGGTCGGGTTAACCCTTTGACTCGTTTTTGACCCCAAAACTCGATTTTGACTCGGCAACTCAAAATTGACCCGATTTTGACTCGTTTTTTACCCGCAAAAGAGGAAATAAACACGTTTTTTACCCGAAAAAGAGGAGATAAACCCGTTTTGACCCCAAAACTAGCATTTTTTGTTGGAAACGGGTCATTCGGGGTGGGTCGGGTTCGGGTCAGGAAAACTGACCCTTTTTCAAAAACGGGTTGGGTTCGGGTTGACCCGAATAGTGCCAGGTCAGTTTCGGGTTCGACCTGAACCCGACCCGTGACCCGAAATTGACACCCCTAGCTAAGGTGGATTCAAATTTGTCCCCTTAGACAAACATTCACCCCATGTCTACAAGGTACCCTTGGACGAAGCAACCCATGGCTGCCGACAAGGATCCTTCTGTCAGGTTGGGTCGACTACCTCCTCTGACTAAGTAGACCATGGACCACGATAGCCCGGGACGATGGATCCATGGGATCTTGATCGGGTCCATCATCCATTCCCCCACCATCTGCTTTAAGTGCAAAATGGTGAAATTTGTACTTTAAATATCAAACTTCTCAAATATTTTCACTCAAATTCCCATATTCAAACCCAATTTCCAAAACCAAACCTATGCTGCTACTATACGCCAGATAACACGTATTTCTACGTATCTGATTGACGACTAGCCTTAATCGAAAGTTCTCTCTCGTGATCGGGAGGGGTAATTAACTATAGGGGCTTGCGCCTATAGGAAACCAGAACTCAGATCATAAAGTCCTCACAAAATGAGGGCGAAATCTCTAGGTAGTGACTTATCTACAAACTCATCTTCCTTCCAAAATTTACCCCGGAACTTATTCCATTAAAACTCCCTCGCCGAAGCAAAAGCACAAATTAGCGCGGCGGGGAGGCCAGCGTCGAATTATCGGAGCCCACAAATATTAAAATTTATGAATTCAAAAGTCTCTATCACTTTCTTCACTTAGTAGATCTTCATTAGAATTATCATTATAAGGAATTATTTTATCTCCTATCTCATACATAATTGTGTCAACATCCTCCAAATTTTCCTACATATCTTCAACCTTAATTTCTTAAAGGATTCATGTCTTAAGAAAGGTAGGGGTAGACCTAAAAAGACTTGGTTAGAAAATATTAGGAATGACCTTTCTTTATTAGATTTAAACGAGAATTTGGCTTTTAATAGGACACAATGGAGAAAAAGGATTCATGTAGCCGACCCCACGTAGTGGGATAAAGGCTTGATGTTGTTGTTGTTGTTGTTGTATCTTCAACCTCAACCATCTTCCTTGGCTTATAAGAAGCAGCAGCGTGCGGCTAGGAAAACAAGCAGCATTAAGTGCAAGTGCAATGTGTGACTGGGAGTCGCCAAGTGCATGCAATTCCTATTCTCCATTTTTTGTTTTAGGTATAAGTGGAGAGAAATAACAAAATAAAATTTATTTTATGTATTAAACTTATAATTTTAAAAGCTTTAAATTAGCTGAAGTCCTGACACCTATTTTTTTAGGCTTGAGCCTCTTACAAGTTGTGTAGAAGCACATTTTCTCAGCCTTATTGAGGTATATGCCTCATCAGGCTAAAGTGAGGCATACATTTCATGGCATTTTTTTAAATTACTCTGAGGCAGGACTCTTATTGCAAAATTCTAAACAACGAGCATCGATAAATATAAAGTTATAAAGAATGTTCACTATGTTTATTTTTTTGTAACTTATAAAAAAAAATCTTGAACTCAGTCCTCTATTTTAGATATGGAGGTCCTCCAATAAACAAAATATAACAAAATAGCTTTTCATAGCAACAGCTGAAATAATACCTAGTCAATTTGATTCTCCTTTATTCCTTGATCTCCAATTATTTCTCCCATACCATTTTCTTCGTGTTCTTTCTTTTGTTTATTCTCAATAGAGACACGTGAATTGGTGATCCCCAATGTTGCCATACTGGGAATCTAAATTTACCGTTGACTTAACAATCTTATTCTTATGGTCTTCACACTTCCATGGGCAGGGCATGTCTTTACAATGGTTAACATCATTTGCATCTAAAGTAGATTATATGTGGATTGGCTTTTAGTTTACTTCCTCAACATTTTGCATATTTGATCTAAGTTATGAATACATCATATAGAAAGCATAAAAAAATAATCATTCTTTTAATCATTTACTTCATTTACTAACGTTCCAATAAATTTCCAGTGTTTAATTTACATATAGCACAAGATCTTGATACATCTACATCAGAACCACCTCGTACATAATAACTAAAAGATCAATCTTGTATTTTCTAAAAAACATAAGAAAAAAAAAATTGTAAGAGATAAACTGCTTCTTTGACCAGGAATAGCATACTTTTCAAACATTTTAAGGACTATCATGCCACCGAACTACGAAATTTTTTAAAATACACCAGCTAGGGTGTCTAGAAATACATAAAACATACACCAACTTGCACTGTACATGCAGTATCAGCAAGCAGGAGAGCGGTATAAAACTCAAGAAAGGAAGAGTAGATGCAGGATCTACTAGCATAGAAAATTTATTGAGCATCTTTCAATGACTTCATAACGAGCTCACTATCAAGGAAGCATAAGCAAGTTCCAGTCAGAAAAATAAATAAATAAATAAAAACTTAAAATGTCTTGAGAATAGTATTAAAAAAAATGCAGCAGTAGGAAACTGCTCTCAAAAAAAAAAAAAAAAAAGGAGATTTAAATGATACCTTGCATGAGAACTTCAGAATTATAGCAAAGAAAAACAGGCTATGATTAGTAAAAAATAAAATAAAAAGCATCGACATGAAAATCCCTAAATATTCCTATGAGTACCTTGTCTATGACTGAAAAGAATGAATAAGAAAAGCCCAAAAATATTTCTCACAGTACTTTGTGCGTGAATTAGATGTAAACGCCAAAGGAAAATCCAAAGAATCAGTAGCTATGTAAACTTACAATGTATGGAACAGGTGCATCCAAAAAATCCAGCATATCATTGGGTAATACCTGGAAGTACCACAGTTTTTGGGGGAAGATTATTCCAAAGGAATTTAAGTATTTAAACAATAGATCAAAAAAATGCAGTACCGAAATTATTTTGAAAGACCGCTGCAAATAAAATTATTATAGAGCCAGCTTAAGTTACTTACCGGCATAAGGAGACTCTGCCACTGATAAGGACGAATTAATGGGATTATGGATAAAACTGAGGCAGATAATATTCCCTGCACATTCAAATACAAATCTTTTAAAAATTAAATAACAGAAACATAATTCAGATTGCATAGCATGCTTTTGGTGTGTGAGAAATCCAAGACCACAAACTAATGGATTTTAAAATAAAAATTGTTCAAGTAAATTTTAAATTTTATTTCAAGTGAAAAATGTTATAGAAAGTACTTGTAGATCTCGAGTATTTCCTATCAATCTTTAGAAAACAGCGAGCTTTCTCCACAAAAATCCGCCCAAAACCATGAAAATAGTAGATAATTTGTATTATTTGATGAAAGGTAAATGGAAAATAGCAAGATACAATTGATCCTCTATTCAAGAGGAGGATCGATCTCTCCCAAATCTCTAGACGCCGCTAGAGACCAAAAGGAAAACCTAACTCTAGGAGATTTCAAATTTCAGCCAAATTCAAGATGTCCTAACCCTAAAAAAACAAACTATTTAATGCATACAGTTCAAAAGGAAATCTTTAAACAATCCCTACATTCAAATTTCCTTCCCAAATCCCTCAAAAATCCTTCCTAAATTGCTCCACTTGGGCGTTCGGATCACCCGATCTCCACAAGAGGCGGAGATCCCACCTCTGTTGCGCTTGGCCGATCCCGTGCGGACCGGCTGGACCGGTTCAAACAATACTCCCCTTTCAAAGATCCACCTTGTCCGCAAGATGGAAAGATGACACCCTCCTCCTATCCTTCTTCATCACAAACGGTAAGAACCTGAAGAGTTCAGTCCTTACACCTGTGCCCCGATGTATACCTCTCGTCATATCTGAAACAGAAGCCCTTCACCCTCTTCTCTTGTAATTATGTTTCTGTGAACTTCTTGAAGTTGTCCCCAGGTCTTCCTCCAGTAGTCTTCTCCTTCGAAGTCTCCCTAAGAGTACCTGGTGTTGGTTCCTTGGGTGCCAAAAAAGTGGTGGTCATCCTATTTAAGCCTCGTGAGCTGCAACCTCCAGTTTTTCTCTCCAAGTGCTCTGATCCTCCACCAACTGAGCTAGCTCCATAGCATATCCCAAGTCACGATGTCTCATTACTCTAACTACTGCCCAGATCTCTGGTGTCAATCCCTTCATGAAATTTCCATCTAGCACTGTCTCAGGAAGGAGTTCCAATCGGCTAGCAAGATACTCGAATCTCTCCAGGTACTCCGTCACTGAACCATCCTGTGCCCAACTGAAGAACTGCTCGTAAAAGTCTCCTCCCCAGCCAGTTCAAAAACGTTCTACCTAACAATCCTTAAACTCTCTCCAACTCCGTATGGGTCGTCGCATGTCCTCCACTGATACCAAGACAAAACCTTCCCTTCTAAACATAGGCCCACCGCCGTCAATCTTTCCTCCTCTGTCAGCCCATTAACGGCGAAATATCTTTCTTCCTTGTAGATCCACCATTGCGCATCCTCTCCTCAAAGATTAGCATCTTCAGTTTCCTCACTCTCGAGTCACACCCGTTTCCCCTAAATCCTCCATAACCTCCTATTCCTCTAAGTGGAGGTGCTCCCCAATTGTCATGATCTTCCCTCATGTGATCATACCCAAACCATCTTTAACTATGATCAAATCATAACGAGAAATAAAGATATAAGTCTTAAAATGAGTGGATAATCTCTCTCTCTCCTTGCACAAACTCAAACACAAACACACATATAGGTGTGTTGACCTCTCCTGTTGACCCTCTACATTCACTTGATTTCAGCATTCAAATCAAGGATATGAAATCTTGGCCCAATCACCTATGTACCTCATGGTGTATAATTTTTCTTTGTTGGATGACAATATGAAGGTTTGATATGCATTGCAACATCAGGGGTAGTGGCTAGGGTGAACATCAACACCTTATGTTCTAAAATATGGTATATACTACTTTTGGAATCTTCTATACCACAAGGGAAGTAATGCTTTAGGGTTATAGTAGAAGTATAAATCATAAGTGAAGCTGCATCTTTGGTGAATGACCATGCTTTTTAATATATTTTTAATCAACATTAAGAACATGTTTTATGAACACAAGTTTGATTGGCTACTGCTCACATGGCCGCATAACGTTTATTATTGGAGATCTTGTGATCTTTTGATCTTGTTATCATGGAGAATTGCCCTAAATATAAAGGAATTGCTTGCTATGTTTGGAAACTAATATGCTTTGTCGACTTTAAATGATAAGATTACAAAAGCTTAAATCTATGAATTTGAAAACTTCCTTGACAGAGTAAAACTTAAATTGGGGTTCGAAGACCATGCACAAAAATAGTTGTTTTATTATTTTCCTCTTCTTCCTTTCAATTTTCCTTATTTTATTTCTTTCAATTTCATCCTTGTAGCTTTTCCTTGCTCTCTTGCTTGGATTAAATCTCACCTTCATGAAATGGCCTTCCGAGTGTCTTCATCCTCTTAAGCACAAACAAAACAATTATGAACATTAATTATCTCATCTCATGCAGCTCAACATCAACAGTTAAAGATGTTTTGTCCACTCTTAGATCTCAGTAATCCCTAACAAAATAGTTGTCAATCAAATTGTTCTTGCTAAAATGTTGATCATAATTTTATTGCACACAGCATTGTTGTTCTGAATTTTAAGCTATACAAAAATTGTTTGTAACATTTAAATAAAATTATATAATTTAAGGGTCAATCAACATTCAAACGGTTAGATCAAGATATTTTCCAACATCAACCATCTCAAATTGAATGAAACTACACGTATATGCACAACTTCAATTTGAAATATAATCATGTAACTTTAATCTTTAACAATATTATCCTTAATCATTGACAAATATTTTGTGAAAGATTAACTCAACATCATCACATGAACACAATTCATTTTATCATAAGCTTGATGAAGATCGATTGAAAATTTTCATAAATTTTGATCTCAAAATAATTAAAAAGTATAATCATGATAAAACAACATAGAATTTGTTTATGGAGTCACTATGATCAATACATAATGAGAAATAAAGATATAAGTTTAAAACAAAATGGATAACTTGACAAGTGTCAGCATGCATGCTCCCAAAATAACCTCCTCCAGAAATCATTTTGCCTCCTCTTTTTTTCAGCACCTAGGCCGTCCTAAACTTGTTCGTGCCATGGATCATGATCAGGTGTTGATAAGCTTTAGCCCAGCTCAATACTCATCAATATAAAATGCCTCCTTTTGTTGATCAGTTTTCCATTGAAAAGGATGTAAATTTTAATTTCATTTCGTAGACTTTTACGTTCCCTTCTAATCTATCCTCCTAAGACCTACCATGTCTTCACTGATATTCTTCATGTTGATCATAGCAACATGACAATTCAGCATAGGATAATTTGTTATTAAACTTCACACTAAAACTTAGGAGGTTGAGTTTGATCTCTAACATCTCAGCAGAGTTCAGTTTAGAGAGGCAGGGACCCAACAAGTCTAGCAATATTCGTATTGCTGCTTGAGCTTCCAAATTAAGCTTTACAAGAGACTGCCAGTTTTTCAAGGAATGCTGGTGCTGATGTGAGAGATTAGATTGATTTCAGCAATGTTGGTGTAGTTAAAAGATTTTTATAGCACTTAAATATCCATATTTAGCCTCACTTCGCCCTAATAAATAAAAACATAAAAAAAGCCCTTCAAATAAACTTTTAATTGTAGTAAATGGTGCAAAAGTACATCAACTTATGGAACGACACAATTCACAGAAGTAAACAATAATTGAAAACAACTAAGAAAACTCATCAAAATCCAGCTTCTCAACTATCCTTGTGCTTCCTCTCATGATTACCTTCTTACGCATCATACTTCACCAAATATTATCACCTTGCAAAGAATATTTTAAAAATTAAATATAAAATGCAATACCTATAGTTTTTAGTTTAAGTTGGTCCTTTAAGATAAAATACATTAAAAATATGATTATTTATCATTAATATCAAGAAGCAACTCAAGGAAATGCTTCAAGATGTCTTGTTATGGACTAGGAATGATTAGGCCTTGCGGAAATCGCTCATATCAACTAATATATTTCGAAGCTCCTCGATAGTTGGTTTGTTGATGTTAAATTCCCCTTAGCAATGAAAAATAAAGAAAGTAGGTTTCATAGTAGTCATAACATAGGGCAAGTAGATTAGAAGGCTTATATGGAAAGGTTAGCAGTTCTTATCAGGGGTTCCTAATAAGCACAAGCCCAATGAAAGGAAAGCAATGAAAGCAAAAACAAAAAAAACAAAACAATAGATCACAATTTAGAAAGCCGTGGAAGCATAAAATACTAAAAAGACAAATAAAGAGTAACAACATTCAAAATGGAAGAAAAACAAAGTAATTAAAGACCTACCAGAGTAGAGCATACAACCACAATTTGTTTTTCCAAAAGAGCCCCAGCAAACATGGCTAGCACCTGAAATAGAAAGTAGCAATTAAACAGCATAATGCCAGAAACAATTCATCCAATTACCATGTAAAAGGAAGAAAAAATTTATTATGAATAATCAGCCAAAGCTATAAAAACGAAAATACACATCATCTGTAGCTAATTGCAGCCTCTTTTCTAGTCTTATCTCCAACATGGTAACTCAAGATTAGAGGTCAACATATTTCCAATAGTTGCATGTTATAGCTTCTCCATCATGGCTTCTCATTTTTCGTGCCTATGATGAAAAAATGCACAACCTCAAAGTCCATGGAAAAACATACTGGCATGGAAGAAAAGCTATGCAAGAGAAGAGAGACAAAAAGGAAGAGAGAAAGATATGAGATGGCGGTTTATTGTTGTATTCAATAAATCACCATCAAGTGCCTCGATATAAGACTAAAGCCCCTTATATAGAATAAGACTCACATTAAAATGCATTAAACTTTTTAAGAAAATAAATGCAATAATGTGCCAAATATATATATGTGTGTGTGAAAGAGAGAAAGAGAGAGAGAGAGAGAGAAAAATGGCAAAATAGCCCTAGCATTATTTGTATGGTGACATGTTAATCCCAACTATCTAATGTTCAATTTAGTCAATTGACTCTTTATATATAATTCAAAATAATCGTCTGTTAGACTATTTTGTATCAGTTTAAGAAGTCAATGGATTAGTTTGGATCAAATTGTGGAGGCTAGGGACAAATTTGGACACATTAGATAACTTAGGGCTAAAAATGCCCCCATAAATAATTGAGGGGCCATTTTCAATATATATATATATATATATATATATATATGACACCATTAATATGTGTAAAGATCAAGAAGAGAAGGAAAAAATCTAAAATTGATTGTTGACAATTCTACGAGACAACCAAGAAGTATACAAAGAACAAAAGAATAAAACAAAAAATAATCTAGAACTATTCAAGACAATTGTCTTAAGGCTGAATATGTTGCTGAGATGAATCTAGCTATTGAATTCTAGATCAAGAACCAAAAATTTTGTAGTTCTTGGCGGCCGGAATAGGTTGACTACGGTTTTCTTGATTTCTTGTGAGAAGAGCAGCAGCTACATGCTCTTCTTGGTAGGGAATTCGACACCGTTTATTGGTTGGAAGGTTGTTGGCTAGCTAGAAAGATCTCCCAGCAACAAGAAGTGTTGGGCTGTTGGCTGGTTGGAAGAAAGACTTCCAGAGACAGGACTGTAGACTGACGAAAGAGGAGGAAGAGGAAGTCCTGGCTATCGGCTGGTTGGAAGCTGGGAGAGGGAGGAAGAAGATTCTGGCTGGAAGGGCAGTTGACCACCACCAGGAGACTTTCAGTATACATAGAACAAGAGAGTTATGACTGTTTCCTAAAAACCAAAATTTGAATTTTAGGGTTAATGAATCTCTATTTATAAGCTTTTAACTAGTACATAAAGAAATAAAATAAAATAAAGATAATGTTTGACCACCATGTGTCAATATATACATATATAGACAAATGCTTAAAATTTAATATAAAAATAATATGACAAATATGCTTGTCCTGCATCATTTCACCAAGGCTGGAAAAAAAATAACTACTCTCCAAAGAGTTGGAAGGTGACCTTAATGGATGTAGAGATTAAGTCGACTCATATACAGCTCTATGTACACCCAAAAGTAAGAAAGCAGTGTAGTCTAGTGGTCATGGAGGTAGCCAAATGCCATCATAAAGAGCCAATGGGATTGTCGGTAACTAAATCATCTTTGGAGAATTTTTAGATTTAAACGATAATTTAACTTTTAACATGACACAATGGAAAAAAAGGATTCATATAGCCGACCCCACGTAGTAGGACAAAGGCTTGATGATGTTGTTGTTGTTGTTGTTGTTAAATAATATATGGAGAATTTAGAGGATTCAGAGTTATACATTGACACATCATGAATTACATGAGCTAAAATATTAAAATAGATTGATTGTTATGTTGCTGGCAGCATAGAGTCAGCACATATGAATGAATACTCAGGATTTGATCTAGAAGACAGTAGTTCGCCAACATCAGGAGTATACGAGCTTGATGCCAAAGTCCCTTATCAGATCCTAGAGCTCATTCTTCATGATAGCCATTTTCAATGGACAATTCCTAAAGGAGAAAAGAGTCAAAATGGTCCCTCAACTTTTTGTGAGGAACCAAAATAGTCCCAACTCTTTTGAACGACCAATTTGGCCCCTCAACTCCTTAAAAAGAGGCATTTTTTGTCTTAATATCAATTTTTTGGGTTAATAGTGTTAAATCAAGGAGTATTTTAGTATTTTTTTAACTAAATTAGTTATTGAATGTAATTTTCAAGTAATAGTAACTTTTAAAAAAAAATATTGAACATTTCTTTAATAAAAAAATATTAATAATTCTAGTTTTAATTTCAAAAATTATTAAAACTGAATTAGAATGGCGAGTGGTGACGATGGTGGCGGGTGGAGGCGGTCGGCGTTGGTGTCGAGTGGCTGTTGGCCATGATCAAGCAAGCTTGCTTGTAGTGTAAACCGTTCTCACTCAAAATAGGGCAAATTTGGTTTACCATGAAAATGAATTAGAATGGTTTACACTACATTTACTTTACTTTGGATTCATTTTTCATCCAACCAAACACCAAATTGTCAAAACCCCTGCACTTGGAATACTTTAAACCCTAAAATACTCCAACCAAACAACCCAATTAAAGAAGAGAGATGAGAGAAAAAGAGATTCATTAGAGGTAGCTCATTGTTTTATTTAATAAATCTCCAGCAAGTGATCTAATATAAGACTGAAGGCTCTTAAATAGAATATAGCTCATAATGCATTTCCTAAAATGCATTATTTAAAACATATTAAAAAAAGGAAATATGCTTTTAAAACATAATATAAAAAATAATCAACAGACCATGCCTATCCTATATCATTATGGCTTCCCACATTTTTGAAACTAATTGCCATGTTAATAATATTTTGGAAGTAACAGCACTACTAATTTTACTATGCCCCACCATTCTAGCTTTAATTGCATTAGCGGCTAGATATGCAATCAAGTTGTTTTCTGACACCCAAGAAAGTAAAACCACCCATGATACTTCACAATTTTGTCCTTCTTCAAATTCAGTTAACTTGTGTTCTACCTAAATTCCTTGCATTATGAACCATTATCAGTGCTAATTATTGGTTCCATCTTTCAAAATCATGCAACGAGGCCCTTTTGAGCCTATAAGATTTTGCTTTCCCAAAACCATTCCTTTAATTCTTTCAAGAATTACCTACGTACATTTTCAAGCCTCAAGCAACCACATATGCATGCAACAGTCCACACAGATAAAGCAGTGGCTTCCTCCTCTGCCAAAAGTGCACTCTGTGCCTGCAAGGCACCAAAACCATGGACTGAATACTCAGGATTTGGTTGCAATTGTCACATACCTCATAGTTTGGGGAACACTACAACATTTTTTTGTGTCAAGCCAAGTACCAGAAATTGCATACCTCTGCCACTTCCAAACTACTGCTGAAAGATCTGAGATCTATGATGGATCCAGCAATATGAAGGAGAGTTTCTCCGGGTCGATGAAACTTTAATGAATGCAAGTGTTCTAGAGGCTGAAATACTAGAGTAGAACCTCTATCAGGGGATCTTAGCTGATAATATTCACAAATTACCTGTAAGGATCCATGTCCATTTGCCTGAAAATAAGGCACAACATAATTGGAAGGTTTAGTTCAAATTCTTCAATAATTATGAACCATACAACCATGAAAGATTAAACAACCTTGGCCCATTCAAGAATGTCATCATGATCATTAGAATCACCATGTCCAGAGGAAGATGGCTCTTCCAGTTCAGCTTCTGACATGTTAGTCCTGAAGCTTCTTCCTTCACTAGGAGAACCCTGTAAACTGCATTTAAAGTGTTATTTTAGACATTAAAGTATAGCTTTATTATTAATAAAAATTTCAAACCTAATTAAACAAACATTTAATACCAATGTAGAGCCCTGACACGTTGAATTTCAATGTCAAGACCAGTGTAGCACATGAAAATCTTATAAGATCCAGTTCCAACGACAATTCATATGAATTCCTCCATTGAGTAATTATTCTTTCATATGAAATTATGTAGAAAAAAATGTAAACCTATCAAAACAACTAGATTGTACTGCATAGAACAACATGCTCAGTGCTAAATCACCTTATAAAAGAACTTCAATAATGAATATCTCCCCTTCTCCATCAATTTTGGTATTAGAGCAAATGTCTAGTTTTTCTTTTGATTTACAGACACTTATTTGTCAAAGTTAAAGCTTAAACTCATGCATTGCAAATCGACACATAATCCTTCATGTAAACTCATCTCTAAGTCTTCGCATTTGCAACATCCATTTTGATGTCGAAAGGATGGGGTGGGGGGAAAATTTGAAAATTGAAATTAAAATTAAATGAGAAAAAGGGGGTGGTTAATTAAATTCCATAATTGGATATCCAATTAAGGAATTAAATAACTAAGAGGGGGAGGGGCCGGCAGCATTAAGAGGGGCTTGGGAGTTTATGGAGAGAGATTTAAAAGCTAGCCAAGTGAGAAACCTTAAATTAGGGAGGAATATTTAAATCAAATCCTATTTGAATTTGAAATAGGTTTGATTTGAATACTTTCCTAAAAAAAGATAACTAAATTAGGGAAAGGATTTGAAATTTAAATGCATTTGAATTTAAATTCAAATACTTTCCATATTAAACACATTCACAATAGGAAATAAAGCTATCAAGCAAGATTGACTCCAATCAAGAGCAAAAGGGGAAGGGGCGGTGGGTAGAGAGAGAAGGGGCCGGTTATGGGAGGAAAGGAAAAGGAAATTAATCAAGTCTTCAATTAAGGGAGAAAGGATTTAATCAAATACAATTCCAAATTGATTGGAATTTGATTTGAAGAACTTTCCAAAAATAGGAAATGTTTTGAATTTCAAACTAATTGTATTGGAATTCAAAATTCTTTTCAAATTATCTTCAACCTAATTTGGGAAAACGAAGGGGAATGAAGGAGGGAAGAGGCTAGGGGTGAGATGGTCGGCCGGCTATGGAGGTGGAGGGGTTTATGGCCGGCAGTTGATATGGATCAAGTGGAGGAGGCTTGTGGCTTTGGAGGGGTTTGTGGGAAAATCGGCCGGTGGCAAGTGGGGGATTTTGGTCGGCGGTCAAGGGAGGAGGAGAAAAGGATTTAGGAAAAGAAACATACAACCGTGAGCCCGGACACATCCTGCAGCTGATGGGTAATACGTTGCCCTTCTCCAAGGGACTTCAAGCCATGAGCCCGGAGCCATCCTGCGGCTGGTGGAAGCTCCGATTCACTCCCATAGAAATCTCATCCAAATTCTCTCCAAAGAACACAAGTGCAAATCTTTATTTTTTGTATTAATAATCCATCATTGATCTAATACAAGAGCAAGGTACTCTATATATAGTCATTAAAAGAAACGAAAAGACAATTTTGCCCCTTAGGCTTACATAAGACAAGACCTTTAAGTAATAGTAAAAACGAAAAATGCATAATTAAATAAAAAATACAATTAATAAACTAAGATAAGATGGAGGGATCTAAGCCGTCGATTTTCGTCTCTTCCTTTGATTAACGTTCACCGTCGGATGTCTGCATCATTCTCCCGGGGAGGAAAAGAGCTCGACTCCGTCGAGTCCGCACCGCAGGTAACCATGCTCTGATACCAAACTGATGTAGAACGGATGGGGTGGGGGAAATTTTGAAAATTGAAATTAAAATTAATAAGAAAAAGGGGGTGGTTAATTAAATCCCATAATTGGATATCCAATTAACGAATTAAATAACTACGGGGTGGGAGGCGACAGCATCAAGAGGGGCTTGGGAGTTTATGGAGAGAGATTTAAATGCTTGCCAAGTGAGGAACCTTAAATTATGGATGAATATTTAAATCAAATCCTATCTGAATTTGAAATAGGTTTGATTTGAATACTTTCTTAAAATAAGATAACTAAATTAGGAAAAGGATTTGAAATTTAAATACATTTGAATTTAAATTCAAATGCTTTCCATATTAAAACACATCAACAATAGAAAATAAGGATATTAAGCAAGATTGACTCCAATTAAGAGCAAAAGGTGAAGGGACGGCGGGTAGAGAGAGAAGGGGCCGATTATGGGAGGAAAGGAAAAGGAAATTAATCAAGTCTTCAATTAAGGGAGAAAGAATTTAATCAAATACAATTCCAAATTGATTGGAATTTGATTTGAAGAACTTTCCAAAAATAGGAAATGTTTTGAATTTCAAACTAATTGTATTGGAATTCAAAATTCTTTTCAAATTATCTTCAACCTAATTTAGGAAAACGAAGGGGAATGAAGGAGAGAAGAGGCTAGGAATGAAGTGATCGGTCGTGTATGGAGGTGGAGGGGTTTATGGCTGGCGGTTGATATGGATCAAGTGGACGAGGCTTCTGGCTTTGGAGGGGTTTGTGGGAGAATCAGCCGCTGGCAAGTGGGGGATTTTGGCCGGTGGTCAAGGGAGGAGGTGAAAGGATTTAGGGAAAGAAAGATACAACCGTGAGCCCGGACATATCCTACAGCTGACGAATAATACGTTGCCTTTCTCCAAGGGACTTCAAGCCACGAGCATGGACCCATCCTGCGGCTGGTGGAAGCTCCGATTCCCTCCTATAGAAATCTCACCCAAGTTCTCTCCAAAGAACACAAGTGCAAAACTTTTTTTTTTATTAATAATTCATCATTGATCTAATACAAGAACAAGGGCATCTATATATAGGTCTTAAATGAAACGAAAAGACAACTTTGCCCCTTGGGCATACATAAGACAAGACCCTTAAAGGTCAAAACGGAAAATGCATAATTAAATCAAAAATACAATTAATAAACTAAGATGAAATGGAGAAATCTAAGCCGTCGATCTTCGTCTCTTCCTTTGATTAACGTCCACCGTCGGATGTCCACATCACATTTGTCATCAGCTTTGCTCAATCCAACAATCTCAAATCTCTTATCTCACTCACACACCCCTCGCATCATCATTGCATGTGAATCTTTTATGCAATCTCTACTGTCGTCGCACCGACAACCTAAGACATAATCTCGCATCCCATAGCTGCTGCAATGCACACGTACACGCATATGCAATAACATCTGCATATATTATAACCATGTCCCTTTCTTGCACATAGCCATCTTGCAAGTGCATCCTGCTTGCGTTCCATTGATTCTCTTTAAATGTTGCACACTTTTGATTGTTGAAAATTCATGCCCGACACTAACAAGAGTTTGTTTTGGGTCAAATTTTTAGAATGCAAATAAGATTGATGATAAAACAAGACAAAGATTTCATCCTCATTGTGAGACTTTATGATTTAGTTCTAGGATTCTGATAGGCACAAACCCTATGATTGATTTCATCTCAAACAGATGAGAGAGAACTTTTGTTTAAAGCTAGTCATTAGACATTAAATGCTTATCATATAATAACAACAATTTCTTAATTTAGAATAAAAAAATTCATACATTTCACTTAATCCAGAAGATGGGAGAATGTTGAAAAAGTTGATCAAAATCACATGGCTCAACCATCCAAAGTTGTTATTAATTTTGGTCTACTTAGTCAACAAAGGTAGTCAATCAAATATGGCCATGTCATTATAGGTAACTATGGGTTTCGTTGTCCAAAAGGACCTATTAGATCTAGAGTAGATGTTAATCTAAAGAAATAATTTTAAGTAGACCTTAGCTAATAAAAGAATATATGCTTTATCAAGTGCACTTTATAATTCACAACTTAAGGGATTTAGGGATATTGGAGAACATCAGAGATAAAATTATGACTGTAAATCAATTTTATCAATTTATGAAAAAATTATCCAGTCAAAGAGTGCCAATCATAATTGTTATTTAGTGATGCTATTTAGCAACAAAATCACTCAGTTAGAATAAATGTATTACATCTTTACTGACATGAAATCGTCTGAGAGTACTCCAAGCGATACACTGGACATGATATTAGCTTTTTCTGAGCTGAGCATAGTCTTATTCACAAACTATTATGGAGGACAAATGGATATGTCCTAAACTAAGGGTGGTCAATTTTACTCTAAACATTTTGACTTTTATAATTTTTTTAATATTTTTATCTAAATTTACACTTGAAATGCTTGAGGTTAAGATTTGGAGGCATTTGAAAAATAAGATAATGTCCGATTGAAATTTACATAACAACACAGCCATCAAGGCATGATGTTTGAAAATACTTATATTTGTAATTTCAAAACTTTATTTTAAGAATGAATCTTCTGATTATGATGCAGAATGAGGGTATTTATCATACGGGCTACTTGTTTGATTGAAATTTATTATATTTAACCTTGTTGATTCTACCTTCTTGTTTGCAAAGGATTTGGTTCATCTGGTTCAAAGCTTGTCGACTCTAATTTTTGTGATGTGGATGATCACTTAAGAGCATGCATACATGTTGAATTTGAATTTTGAAGAGTTTGAATCTCCAATATATTTTTCAGAATTTTATAATATTTGCACACATCTCAAAGTGGAGCAAACAGTAATGACCAGCAGGACTAGCTCAATGGAACTCAAGAAATTTGAGAGGGTTTCAGCACATGAAAAGAAAAGAAGTGGGTGGTTATATTTTATTTTATTGCATATATAGTTTAGTTATTGATTCAATGCATTGATTTATAATGTAACTTATATGTATTCTAGTTCAATTTTAAAAGGACTATTTTATAATAAAATGAGAAAATAGAATTACAATAGAATGTATATATAAGATAATTGCATATTATATAGATTGATATGTATATGTAAATGAGAATGAAATGAAAAGAATGAAGTATAACATGAAATGGAAATATTA